ACTTTATCCCTGTTTTACGGGTGGGGAAACCGAGGTAGAGAGGAAGAATGCCAGGAACAAAATCTAGGAACGCTAACTCTCTCACCTTCTGACTCTACCTACATCCCTTAAATAAAGTCAGCCTTTGGGGTGCAATGAACCTCACCTTACTGAGGTAGGTCAAACTGCATGTCTGAAGCATGGGACTGTTCCTTTAAGGAATCAGAACCCTGTTTTACGGGTGGGGAAACCGAGGTAGAGAGGAAGAATGCCAGGAACAAAATCTAGGAACGCTAACTCTCTCACCTTCTGACTCTACCTACATCCCTTAAATAAAGTCAGCCTTTGGGGTGCAATGAACCTCACCTTACTGAGGTAGGTCAAACTGCATGTCTGAAGCATGGGACTGTTCCTTTAAGGAATCAGAAATGGGATGGGAAGCTAAGCAGTTGGAGCAGCAAGGTGCTCTGTTTGCACCAGGCCTTTGAAGTGGCAATTCCCCTGACATGCTGCCAAAACAAACTGCTTCTAATCACTGAACTCCTTCCCAATAGGCTCTGACCCTGTGCAGGCCCTGGCACGTTCAGAGTCAAGGGCTTGCCCGCTGCCCTGCTGTGAGACAGCCCCCGAATGCTGCACAAGAAAGTGCCCTCACCAAGGGATTCTGGGAGAGTTCAGTGCAATGGAGACTGACTTCCTCTCTCAGCCTGGGCAGGAATCCATGGGACACTGTCCAGAGAGGGAACTGCAACATTCAAGCACATAGACTTCAGGCTGGGGAACCCAACTAATAACTTGTGATCTTTGGAGACATGGGCAGGCTTTGGGATGGGGACTGGACCAAAAGCTGCCACTGCCAGCAATTCATACAGAACTGCCCCTCCAGCTGGGAGCAGGGGACAAAGGCAACAGACTCCAGTAAGAGCTTTTTACTTCATGCCAGGGTCTGATGGCCAGATGCTGAACAGGAGCCCAGCTGACTGACCCCAGGTGCTCTTCTAGAGAGCTGAACAGGCAGCCAGCCAGCGGGAGGCAGGGATGAGAGGGCAGCTGGCAGGCAGCCATGGGGAGGGAGATAAAAGGAGGGAAGGCAGGAAACTGACCCTGCTAAACAAAAAAAAAGCTT